TATTAAAAAATCAAAAACAGCTAACAGATGTTATTAAAATGACTGCTTTCTTATTTTTTTTATTTTTTTTTTATTGAAATAAATGCAACAAAAAATTCAAAATATTTTTGTTGCATAAAACAATTTAATATTTTTTTTTTTTATTAAATTATGTAACAGTAACAGTAAAACAGCTGTTTTTGTTAAGCAGTAATAAGAAACTCATTTGATCTCCCAAAGATTTTGAATTAATTTAAAAAAAAGAAACATCTTCACTTCAAACAAGGCTGCAAGCAACCATTATTAGAGTAGGAAGTTACCGGAAGAGAAAAGATGAAGTTTATAGAGCAAGATAACAACTGACAGATGACTTAAAAGACTACAAATTATATAAATCAGGAAAGCAAGATGCAAGAACTGATTTTCAAGAACTAATGCAAGAACTGATGTTCAAGGAAAAAAACTTAATATATTAGAATTTCTGGAGCACTTAGGAACAGTAAAAAGATAAGATTTACAGGGCAACCAGGAAAATAGGTGACAAACATTTTTAATCATTTTTCATTAAACCAACAAAAATTAGGTAAAACAACCATGATTAACAACAACATGGACCTTTCGCAATAATATACTCAGCCAGTTTCGAAGCGGCCTCCTCCCGCAGCGATACAAAATCCCAAATAAGGTAGTGGTATAGAGGTAAAGCACTTGCTTCATAAGCGAGAGGTTCCGAGTTCGATCCCCACAACGTCCCTGGTAGTACCACACTCAACTTGTTTCTCTGCGCAACGGCTTTGTTCGTCAACGTTCGTATTTCGGAGTTATAGAGTTGAGAGAGGCTTATAACCACTATTAAGTAGCCTCCTCATCTGCAGTAGATTTCGTAGCCTTGAGGAGGTGAATAAAAAAAAAAAAAAAAGCAATGAGCTGCGAGTCTTCTGACGAGAATCGATCCCATTTCGGGCGCAGTGATTGCTCCAGCACCTCCAAACTTTTGTGGCATGTAGCACAGGTCCTGGCCTCCAAAATTGACCATATGCTGTAATCCATCAGGTTGAGATCCGGCGAGTAGGGCGAACATTCCGGAGATGCGATGAAGTCCGGAAAATGGGTCCGACACCAGTATTGAGTCGTTTTTGTCTTGTCAGCAAAAGCAGAGTCCTGTTGGCACGTCCAATTCACATCGCCGAAGCGCTGTTGGGCCCATAGAAGTACTACAGTCTCGAGAATGTCGCGTCGGTAGACTTCTTGATTGATTTTAACTCCTTGATCCACGAAAGTGAGGGGAGTCTTACTGCTAGCACAGATTCCGCCCTAGACCATAAAAGACTGCAGATTTTAATAGTGTTTGACAATGGCCAATGTGTTGGGAGCCTCAGCGGACCAACTCTTGTTGTTTAGGTGGTTGAGCGCCTCCTCAATGTTGAACAGCTTCTTGTCCGTGAACAGGATACGCTCCAATCGCTGAGTAGCGGCTCGATGCTTTAGTTGACAACATTTCTGAAGCCGCGCCCGTTTGTTTTCTCCAGTGAGCAATTAAACTTTTTGGAGCATGTAAAACTTAAGGCTGAGCTACCTTTTTGCCATTTGTCGCACTAATTTAGGTTTCATTCCGGTTTTATAGGCAATTTTTTGCACAGAGACCCTCGAATTTCGATTGACTGGCTTCCTGATGATCTGGTGGTTGGCCAACGTATTGACAGTGAGTCTACTACCACTTCCTAGACAACAACCATCGTGGTCGAGCTCCTTTAAATAATTTAAGGCTTTAGACACAATTTGCTTAGGCACATTGACGCATTCCTTGACGAAACAACTCCAAAATTGTACTACGTTTATTTGACATTCTGAAATATAATACATTTCAAAGATCTCAAACTAAAAACACATATATACTAAACATAAAAACATGGAGAATCCGAAAATCAATAACATTAATTGGATAACGTAAAAAACTTTATTATCAGGACATGTTAAATTTTGTCTCGTTTTTTCTGGTCACCCTATAATTGAATGACGAGTAACACGAGTATGAATTTTAGTAGATGTCAAGTTACAACTTTTTACAAAAAATTGTGGTGATTAGAGTCTGGTAACAAAAATACCCCAAAAAGTTATTCCCTTAACCTAAAAGTGAGGGCAATGAGTTAATGATTAAATTTTTGTTACTATTTTATACTAAGTTCAACTAAATTAGCAGCTTTTAAAATTCACAGAATAATCTTTTACAGGTAAAAAGTTATGACTATATAAAATTTACAAACTCTTTACTTTAGGGAGGGTTGAAAATTTATTTAGTCATAACTTTCAATATCTGAAATATTAATCTATGAAAGTTAGAACATGCAATGTAGTCAAATTTAGAATAATTAACAAATTCATTCATTAATTAATTGCCCTCACTGTTGGGGTAAAGGGAATATTATTTTGGGGTACTTTTGTTCCCAGGCACTATTCACCGCAATTTTTTTTCAAAAATATTATCATTTGACATTAGCATAAATATACTTAAAGTTTGTGCAATACCTGAAAGTGTTAAATTGGTAACAACAAAAAAATCCAATTTGCTCTATTGGAACTATATCATTCTTAAGGGTCAAATTATATTTAATTAGCATCCCACATTAAAAAATAAAAATTTCTTTAATTTGTGAAATCATATAAACAAAACAAGTTCATACAAATTACAAATTTTCTACAAGTAGAAGTTTAACTTCTTTGTAAAGAAGCGATTCCACTTTCATTCTGCTTTGCAAAAAGCTGATCACTGGATCTGATCTTCACCGAAGTCTTCTTACTAAATCCAGATTTTGTTTTTTTTCTAGAAACTTTAATAGTAAAGAATTCTTTGAAGTTTGTTACATCTTTGTTTCTGCTTTCCTGAGCTTCTTCAGAAAGCATACCAATAGATACGATTTTGTTGCGAACTACCTAATGAGAGTGTATTAACAATTTATGAAAACCCTGTGGCGTCTTAACGTGTTATAAAGTGTGTTAAATCTATTACTGCAAAGTATTTCTTTCATGAAAAATCATAAAAATTAAGTCCTAATAATGTAAAAAAAAGCTGCTAAAAAAATTAAAAACCTGTTTTACTAAATAATTATAAAACTATAGATAAATATGTATTAATGTTTTTAAAATCTATAATGATAGATTATTTCTAAACGTCACAGATGTGTTGCCAGTATTTATATGTTTTTTACATTTTTCACACATATTTTAACAACTTTTTGACTTCGAAGCACCCTAGAGGGTTTACAAAATTGATCAATTGCATTATAAAATAAACATTCATTGCCATTAACATATGCATGTTAATTGCAAATAAAAAAAAAAAGTCAATAAACGACATTTACTTTTAACCTTTTCGCTAAATTCTGGCTCACTGTGTGGTGGTTAAAAGGATTACTTAATATCCTTATTTTTCAACTATATTTTTAGTCTCAATATATGCAACAAAATTTTTAGTCTCTATATGCAACAAAATTGAAAAATTCAATTACAAAAAATTTAGATGGACAATATAACTATATTAACAAATTAGAAAGCAATTGAGAAGAGAAATAAAACTATTGTCAAAAGTCCTTAAAGTTACTAGAAGATTAAAATATTTTGAAGTTGATATTCATGATAAAAATGGCAATATCTATCACAAGATTGAAATTTATAGTTCATACGGAAGCACCAGTAAAAAAGAATTATCTCATGAAGTATGAAACGCACTTCATGAGAAAAAATATCATACTGGAGACTTAAGCACCCAGTGAAGATGATGCTTGGTCTCTACAAAAGCAAGTGCATTCACTCACTACTCCAGACCATGTATATAATACTTAGTTTTGACAACTTGGCTACAGGATTTTAGATTTTTTGAAAACATTTTAAAAATGCATGAAAAAAGCCTAACTTAGTTGACAGTAGAAATATTAGGAAAAAAAATAGTTTTAAAAAATTAAGCAACATTTTGAAAAAAGTAACAACTTACTTGTAATGATTAATGAGGAAAAAAACACTCTTTAATTTATCAAAGAGTATAATAAAATTTCTTTTATTTATGTACTTATTTCAAGAAGATTCTAATGAAACTAACACTATTTGATTTATTTATTGAATAGAAAAGAGAATATTTTTTATACAATTCATCATAGTAAGATGAACAAAAAAAGTAATAAAATCATTAAGTTACTATAGAATTATTATTATTATTTTTTTTTTTTGCAGTGTTTTTAAAGTGTTTATAAAACTGCATAATTGCCAGACCCTTGAATCAGCAGTCTATAATGATCAGTTGGATGCAAATTATTATGGACTAAAGTAAAAAACAATGTTATTAAATTTATACTTAGTCTACAGTCCAACTGTTGGTCTGCAGTATAAATTTAAGTAAAAATTGATTAAATGTTATTAAGTAAAAAAAATTAAATGTATACTCAGTATACATTTAACAAAATTATTTTTTACTATCAGTATATTATACTATAATTCATATTATAAATTAGTATATAAGGGGCACATAACATTCTAATTGAATTGTAATTTTATTTTGTATTTTGCAAAGTAAAAAAAAGGTTTTATATCATCCACTTGTACTTCACTATGTTTGTAATTTGTAATTTGTTACTTTGTTATATCGGAGATTTTGAATGTGAGTTTGATTTGATTTTTTGATTTGAGTTTTCTTAACTTAATAATAAAAATTTCATGAAAAACGCAAATGCTGTTAAAAGTATTGTTATATAAAAAGTTAAAACCTTGAATTTTTAAATTTTTCTAAAATTACAAAGTGCAAAATAAAATTCAAATTCAAAAGAGGAAAATAGTGAGCAATATTACTCTTTCAACATTTTTAAATAAGGATATAAAGTGTAAGTCAACAAATAAATTATAAGTGAAACAACTCAATTTTGTTTTCATCAAACTTTTTAAGTGAACAAAGCATACTGATACTCATTTGTTAAATATTATTTTGAAATATATTAAATATTGAGTAATTTTACAAAAACCAGTATAATAATTACCTTTCCTTACAGAAATTCTGATATCTGTTTCTGATGAACTTGATGACTTAACTATAAATGATATAGTTAAGTTATTACTAATAATATAGATTGGACTCAAACACATTTTATCAAATATAAACTCGCTATTTCTATATTGTTTTAATTCTAAATTCCCAAAATCAAAAATATATGTAATCAGAGTTAAATCAACTTATTTGCTTCATTATGCGAGTCTTTTAATTAATTACTTTTACATATAAATAGACAGAAACAGGGCTTTGGAGCTGAGATTTTGAAATTGGCTCCAGCTCCAGGCTCTGGCTTCATTAGAATTTTCGACTCTAGCTCCAATTTCAGCTCCAGAGGGCATACAAGTTACTGCTCTGCATGCTTTTTGTATATTTTGAGTGGTATTCTTTAATTTGATCAAAAGCTGATTTCACTTATAAACATCCCATTTCTTCTATTACCCTTCAGTCATTCATAAAATTTGTATTAAAAGTATTTTTATCATTAAAATTAATTTTGGTTACACTTCATCTTTTTTTCTTTTTTTATCAAGCTCCTTTTCAAACTCATCCTCCTTTCTATTAGAATTAGATTCACTTAAAACTGAAAGTCGAGAAATAAGAAATACTGATGGCTCAGCAGTATTTCTTATTTCTCAAATTTCTATTATATTTTTGGCATCTCTTTAATATATTTGTTTTGCTACTGTTTTAAAGCCTTGTTTTGCTCATATTAGCTGCTTTTCTTCCAACAGTATTCTATATCTGCACTTTTTTTCTCCTGTTGAATAAACTGTTATTAAAAATCCTCTGCTCGTTCATCCTGCATCTTGAAAGTTTTTATTCATCAAACAATAATTTTTTTAATCAAACAAAAATTTTCATCATTCGTTTTATATATTTATCTAAGGGTATTTTAATAATATTATGGATGTAAAATATATATAAAACATGTACCTATACATCAGCAATGACTTAACCTACTGTTTTTCAGTACATTTAAATGTACAGAAAAAAAAACAGCTAATACATGCTTTAAAGAGAATCTTTAACAAATTGTTAGAAACAAAAAAATGTTAGAATTAAAAAGAAAGTCTGAAAAAATTTAAAAAAGTTTGATGTAAAATTAGGGTGAGGTCTTTTTGAGTAAAAGTAAGCTGATTCCAAATAAAAACTAAAAAAATACACACTATTTATTTCAATAAAAAAAAGAAAAAAATTAAAAAAGTCTCAGGAAAACTGAATCATATATATAAGTAAACTTTTTTGGGAACTCTAAAGTTTAGAAAGTGGAGATCGAAACTCTATTGACTGGTCTAACTGCAGCAGCAGAAGCGGCTGGTGATGCGGCCAGCCGTATCACCAGCCGCTTCTGCTGCTGCAGTTGGAATAATGACGTCTAAAGTCTAATGATGATGTCTTTAAATGCACTTTGCTACCTAATGAATTAAGTAGTGATGAAAAGGAAACTTCATCCACTGTGAACAGTATTATTTAAGATATTATTAATGCTTAAACTATCCCAGTATAATGATGAAAATCATCATTCTATTTATGTTGAGGGTAAATATTGACTTAATGGGTTTGGAAACCATAACTATTACCATCAGTTTTCATATCCTGAAGATTTGGAATTAAAGGAAACAAACTATATTGATTCTTATTGATGTCTCCTTAAAAGTAAAGATGGATACAACCTTGTAATTTGAACTAATCTAATCCCTAACTCAATTATTAATGCCAGGTCTGTTACTCTAGTGAAAGCAAAGGAAACCAGGAATAGTGTGAAAGAGTATTTTAAACAAACTCTTTGAAAACTCTAATAGGGCTATAACAGTAGATAATCAACAAACAATAGTGTTATTTCAAAAAATAGTTTACAAATGTGTGTAAAAACAGATATAAGTATGGTTGATGATAAAATGGTATATGTATTGGTGGATAATACTAGAACTCTTCCAGGAGTGATGCCAATGACCTGGCATGCATACCATGTGGGTTTACCTTAGATAAAAACTACAATAATGTGCTCAGTACTTGGAAAAAAATAAAAAATTGTAAAATTTCCTACAAAAATGCTGAAAGACAACGGCAATCCTCTGAGCCTATAGTTGAATAACATGTCAGGTTTTTTGATATTCTTTATTAGAAGCTACCAACACTAAAACTCTGTCTGAAATTGTTATACGACATTGTGGACCTACAGACTCATACATGGTCTGAGCAGTACGTAGAAATAAAAATTGCAATGAAGATAGCAAAGAAAAAAATTGTTTAAACTGTATGCAAAAAAATAGGAATGCTCCTTGATTCTCCGTCTTCCAGTGGTAGTAACACTTAAATTGGCAAATATCAGATTGATTTTTAATCCAGAAGAAGTCAATCTGTTCTGTAATATATATAACAGAAGACAAAGATAACTTCTCTGCTTCGTTAGCAAAGTTCCTTAGCATTAAGATCATATTTAAATTAATGATATTATGACAAGTCTTTTTATATGCAAAGCTGGAAAACCTTAAAATGAAATCCTTGTTCCACCTACATTTTCATGCACATAAAACTTTAATTAACACAATGGCAGCTTAAATTAAGTTTTAAAAGTAAGTAAAAAATATATAAATATAATACTAATTTTATACTTACCAGAAAAATATTCAACTAAGTCATGCCTTCCAATTTGTTCAAGTACTTTAGCAAAAGCATCATAGTTATCAATCCCTAAAAGCCTACGTTGTTTTAAAGCTTTTATTAACTTAAGAGGATTTGTAATCTTTTCACAATCGCAGATACCAATTTTTTCTGAATAGTAAAATTTAATTTTTTCAACATCTTCATCCAACAAATTATTTGCAATTTTCAGCAAGGTACTTTTGTATTTTTCATTATCCATTGTTTCAAAATGCTAAGGATAAAATTTCACATGACATTTTAAATGTTTAAACATTTTTTATATTTAAAACATTTAAATGTGTACAATGTTAAAATGAATAATGGCATAAAAATATAAACATATAAAATATCATAAATCATGTCACTTATGGTTAATAATTAATTTAACGCAGCTGCCGCCTATACTCAATCGTGCGCGTTTACACAGAGTTTTAGTATAAATAGTATTTAGCATGCTCTTTCTCTTTATACTTTTGACCATGCGATGAATTACTCTTAAATCTTAATAATCTGTTAATATCTGCCTAATCAGTACAAAGATCGAAAAATTTGCTTCATCAGCTTAATTAGTAATAAGAGCGACAGTTTTTATTTGATAATTTCTGTCGTAAAGCATGAACTTTTTGTGATTTTTAAATTAGTAACTTTTAAAGTCAGGTAATTTAATTCGTGCATCATAAAAATAACACAACTCAAATCCTTTGTCAATTTTATTTAAAATATATTATTCTGTAATTTTTAAATTAGAATACCATGATGACGTTGCTATTTTCAAATGTCAAATTTATCTCCAAAACCCTTGCATCTCACATGATCAACTCTATGTTGCATGTTAAAGAACAAGATCATTTAATATCTTACTTTTAAGAAAATCTGTTTCCTTTTATAATATAAAAACCCAGGTTGTTTGATTGTTTGTTTTTTTAAAGCTATTTACGTTTATTTATTACAAGGTATGTCATTAAACAAATATTACGAAAATAAGGTTGTATTTTATAAATGCTTCTAATTTATTTTACTTTTCTTCAATTATATATTTGATTATATTTATGTTTTATTTATTAAGTGTTTATATGTGTTAAGGTCATATGGTCAAATTAAGTAGCCTCCTCGTCTGTAGTGGCCTTCTCGGCCTTGAGGAGGTGAAGTAAAACAAAAAAAAAACAAAAAAAAAAAATATGGGTTTATATTTTGTGTGTAAATATCTTTTACATATGAAGTGTTTTTATGTTTGTAATGTGTTATAATGTTATGTGTTTATAGCCAAATGTTGCACTTTGCTATAATGTGACTTGGCTTTATAGAAAGCAAAAATGTTGTCCTTGCCAGTAGAGTGGTGTACTGTCATGATAAAACACATAAATAAAATCTATTTGTAGTTAGTGCAGTCATAAAATGTGTTAAAAAAATATTGTTGAAAGAATGTGTTTTTAAGAAATGTTGAAAGAATATGTAGTTTCTAATATCTATAATTTTTTTAATATCTATAATTTTGAGTAAATTTTATTAAAAAGACATATATTTTAAAAAATATATAAAAAGTAACAGTATATATCATACTTATATACTGTTACTTTTTGAGTAAATTTGTTTAAGAGATATATACTCTGCTCTTCTTTGTTAACAGTTTATGCTTTTTATAAAAAATAAATTTTGTTAAAAAGCTGGCTTTCTTTTTACTAACAGGTACTCCACATTTAAATATTTAAGAATTTCTATTTCCTTCATTAAATATGTGTGTTAAGTATGTAATATGTGTAAATTTATTGCATGTTTTTTTATAAAGGTAAGTATACAAAGTGTTACATAAGTTTATTAAATTTCATTAGGTTTTTAGGATTTTTTGTATAATTTTTAGAGGATTAATTGTATATGTTTTCTTTATAATATTATTTTGATGTTTTATATATTGACTTTTTTCTTTAGAATATATAAAAGAAATAAAAAAAATTCAAGAGGTTTTAGTATATCCAAGTTTCTTCACTTGTGGCAAATATATGATTGTTTATTGAGGTTTTCTATTAACAGTTTTGTATTTACTTGTTAATTGTAAATCTTGCATTAAATGTATTTCAAAGTAATAGAAGGGAATTTTTGATGGAGGATTACATCTCACCGTTCAATGCTAGCAGTATTTACTGAGCAGACAGATCATATAATTTTTTCAATTGCTTTATTTATGAGTTCTTATCTGTGAAAATTTTTTAACTTTTCTTAATTACTTTTTAATGTTTTTTTGATTAAATACTTATAATATTTTGTCAATAATTATTATTATTTTCCTTAAATATATTAACTTACTCAGTTATAAAGACTATTATATTATATTAATTTATTATAACTTAAGTTTAAGTTCTTGATAGAAATATGTTATCTTTACAAATTGCTCAATTATTTTAAAACATCTCATTTAAATATGACTATTAGTAGAGTAGAATATAAGTATATTATTATATTATGCTCTGTTTTATTTGCTTACACTTTATCTTAGATAGTTAAGAAAGAAAACTAAAAGTTCAATCTTAAAACAAAAGTGCAACTTTTATTATATTAGGCATCATTTTTACATACTCTTTTGATGCTTAGTTAAGTCTGATAATTTAAGAAGTAAAATTATTAGACTTCGTCAAAATGAAAAAAACCAGGCTAGGCAAGATGAATTGAACCATCGCCAAAATGAGAGACATGAGCTTAGACTAGCTGAGGTAAATTGTCGTTTAAATGAAAGAGGTGAGCTGAGATAAATTGCAGTAGAAATAAAAGATATCATGATAGGTGTTTTAGTTTTACTTATCTTTTGCATCCTTCACAGCCAAAATAAAAAGTATTTAGGCTGTGAAAGAAGCAAAATTTAAACAATTTTTTGCTTCCTTTACAGCCAAAACAATGCAAAATTTGAAGGGACAAATTTTGCATTGTGTTGGAAATTTAAGGCCTAAAGAAGGTTCTCTACCTACATATTGTCAGTTAATTATATGATCCTAGCAGTGTCATATAGAATTTAATTTCAACTAGCTACCTGGTAATGATGTTACTTATGCTATATTTGTTAAGTAAATATTGTTATATTTGTTAATTTATTCTTACATTTATTATATCACTTTATATTATTGCTTAACTTAACGCTGCTGCCGTTACTCATTCGTGCGCCTTTGACACGGAATTTTTACCATACTTAGCGAAGTTTTAACCATACCTGGCTTTTCAGTTTAATTATAATAGGATTTAGCATGCCCTTTCTCTTTATACTTTTGAACTAAAGCGACGAGGTACTCTTAAATGTCATTAATCTGTTAATATTATTATATCAATTGTTATTATCAATCTTGCTGTAAACTGGGCTTAGTTTACAGCAAGATTGTTGACCTCGCTAGCCAAGTGGTGTACTTTGCTATAATGTGACCTGGCTTTGTTGAGAGCAAAAATATTGTCCTCGCCAGCAGAGTGGTGTATTGTCATAATAAAACACATAAATTAATTCTGTTTGTAATTAGTGTATTTCTAAAATGTGTTGAAAAAATATTGTTTAAAAAATGTGTTTTAATGTTGTTATCCTCTGTTCTTAACAATGTATGCTTTTGACAATAAATAAATTTTGTTAAAAAGCAGGCTTTACTAACAGCTCCTCCTCATTAAAATTTTTAAGAGTTTCGATTTTCTTCATTAAATATGTTTAACTCAAATTTTTTTTATATATATAAAAGTAAGTATACAGCGTGTTGAAGCATAAGTTTTAATAACTTTTGTTAAATTTTTAGGATTTTTTGTATAGAGAATGTTTTCTTTATATTATTATTTTAATGTTTTGTATGTACATCAATATATATATATATATATATATATATATATATATATATATATATATATATATATATATATATATATATATATATATATATATATATATATATATATATATATATATATATGTATATATATATATATATATATATATATATATATATATATATATATATATATATATATATATATATATATATATATATATATATATATATATATATATATATATATATATATATATATATATATATATATAGACACACACACACACAATAAAATATATAGAATTAAAATGTCTATACATATATTATATGTATAGACATTTTAGTTTTTTTGCCTTAAATTATTGTCCCTTTTTCTTTAGAATATTAAATATCTAAAAAAAAAAAAAAATAGTAAAAGAAGTTTCAATATTTCCAAGTTTCTTCATTTGAAGCAAATATATGATTGTTTATAGAGGTTCTTTTAGTAGTTTTGTATTTATTTATTGCAAATCTTGCGTTAAATGCCTTTTAAAGTAATGAAAGGGTTTTGTTGATGGATGATTACATTTTATCCTTCCATGCTAGCAGTACCTGCTGAGTTGACAGGCCTTAAATTTTTTTAATTTGCTTTATTTATGAGTTCTTATATGTAAAAAATTTGTTTTTTAAATTACATTTGTTTTTTTTGTTTTTTTTGATTAAATACTTATAATATTTTGTCAATAATTGATAACAACTACCATAAATATATAAACAATACTTAGTTGAAAATATTACATTAATTTATAACTTTAGTTTAATTTTTAATAAAACTATGTTATCTTAACACAATGCTATATATGGTAGAATATAATAGATTATAGTATTATGCTCTGTATTATTTGCTTACACTTTATTTTAGATAAGTTTAAAAAAGAAACTTCAACTTTTATTATATTAGGCATCATTTTTACACACTCCTTTGATGCCGAATTATGTCTAATAATTTAAGAAATGAAATTATTAGACTTCGTCAAAATGAAAGAAGGCAGGCTAGGCGAGCTGAGATAAACCGCCGTCGAAATGAAAGAGATGAGCCCAGGCGAGCTGAGATAAATCGTCGTCGAATGGAAAGAGATGAGCCCCGGCGAGCTGAGATAAATTGTCGTCGAATTGTAAGAGATGAGCCCCGGCGAGCTGAAATAAATTGTAATCAAAATGAAAGAAATCAGGCTAGGCGAGAACATAATAGGTATAATACGCATGGCATAGCAAGAAATAATATTGCTATAGAGAGAAACTACCTCGGAGAATTAAACCATAATTGTCAGTATTGCAGTGCAAAGAAGTTTTTAAATGAAACTCATTTTTTGTGCTGCCATTCAGGAAAAGTTGCATTAGCTCCTCTTTCTCTTTATCCGCCATTGTTGACTGGTTTAATGACAGGAAACCATGTTGATCATGCTGTAAATCAAAATTTTTTTAAACACATAAGGAGTTATAATTCCTCTTTATCTTTTGCTTCCTTCACTGCCGAAATAGCTCCTCCCTCAAATAATGGCCCTTTCTGTTTTAGGGTCTGTGGGCAAATTTTGCATCGTGTTGGAAATTTAAGGCCTGCAGAAGGTTGTCTGCCCAAATATTGTCAGCTGTATATCTATGATCCTAATGCAGCAGTGTCATTCAGAATGGAACAACCTGGTAATGATGGTTGTATACATGAGTTAATGCAACTCTTGCAAACATTAATTAATCAAGAAAACCCATTTGCTCTTGCATTTAAAAACATGGCAGAAGTAGAGGATGAAGAAATCCGCCAAGCAGCTTTAGAAGGTAGACCAACCTCTGTTGTAAGAATGTCTTTGCTTGAAGGTCATGATAGACGTCGATACAATCTTCCTTCCCATGAGGAAGTTGCTATTGTGTTTGTGGGAGATGATGGTGCTCCACCTGCATCCAGGGAAATTGTTATATACCCTCGAGGTCAGCCTTTAAGAACAATTTCGTCAATGTCTGCAAATTTAGATCCTTTGGTATATCCAATATTCTTCCCGAGAGGTGATGCTGGATGGCACAATCAACTAGAGCACAACCCTGACCGTGCAACCCGTGTTAGAAACCATGTTACTTTGTCTCAGTATTATAATTATAGGCTTGCTGTTAGACAAACTTTTAGTCCTATATTCTATGGTAAGAAACTTTTTCAGCAATATGTTGTTGATGCATATGTCAAAGTTGAGGGACAGCGCCTTGCTTTTATTAGAAATAACCAAAACAAACTTAGAAGTGAGCAATATGATGCATTGCATGAACATGTAATTAATCGTGCTAATGATCTTAATGTAAGACCAGGCCGTGTTGTTATATTGCCTTCTTCATATGTTGGTAGTCCAATAGCATTAAAAGAAAACTTTGAAGATGCGATGGCAGTCATAAAGAAATATGGTAAACCAGATCTATTCATTACTTTTACCTGCAATCTAAAATGGAGAGAAATAGTAGAAAATTTAAACCAAAGGCCAAACTGCTAATGACAGACCTGATTTAGTTTGTCGGGTATTTAAAATGAAACTTAAATTTTTCTTAAAGGATATTTTTAAGCATGGAGTCTTAGGCAAAGTTGTAAGTCATGTGCAGGTTATTGAGTTTCAAAAGCGTGGTTTGCCACATGTACATATTTTATTGCACTTTGTAAATGCTGATAAGCTAGAAACAGCAGAAGATATTGATAGTTTGATATCAGCAGAAATCCCAGACCCAGCTGTTGATCCTGAACTTTTTGATATTATAAAATCATGCATGATACATGGACCATGTGGAATTTTAAATCCCAATTCTCCCTGCATGAAAGATGGTAAATGCACAAAAAAATTTCCTAAGGAATTTAATCCCCACACTGTTGCAATTTTTAATGGTTATCCACGCTATAGGCGCGTCGATAATGGAAGAATTGTAAATATAAAAGGTAATCAAGTTGACAACCGTTGGGTTGTACCTTATAACCCATGGCTTTCTAAAAAATATCAAGCACACATAAATGTTGAAGCCTGCATGACCATAAAGTCAGTTAAGTATTTATATAAGTACATTTACAAAGGGCATGACTGTGCCAATGTGGTGATAAATGAGCAAGTTAACCATGATGAAATAAACACGTTTTTAAATTGTCGCTATGTCTCAGCTCCAGAAGCATTGTGGCGAATATTTGAGTATTCTTTAAGTGATATGTCACATAACATCATTCGACTTCAGGTTCATCTGCCAGATAATCAGATGATATATTTTGTAGAAGGCGAAGAACAGGCAGCTTTAGACCGTGCAGCACAGCGTGACACTCACCTAACTGCATGGTTTAAATTAAATGTTGAAAATGAAAAAGCCCGACACTATCCATATGTTGAAATTCCTTACCACTTTGTTTTTGATAGCAAACATTGTAAATGGAAAGTTAGGCAAAGAGGTAGCAATAAGGTGATTGTTAGGATGTATAAAGTGAGTCCAATAGGTGAAATATTTTATCATAGAATGTTACTTTTGCATGTTAGAGGTGCAGTTTCTTTTGAAGATTTGCGTACTGTTAATGGTACAGTTTTTAATACATTCCGAGAAGCATGTTCTCAATTAGGTCTGTTACAAGACGACGCTGAATGGAGAAATACATTAACTGAGGCTGCTGCAACTCGGTTGCCAAATCAAATTAGACAGTTATTTTCCATTATTTTGACTTTCTGTGAACCTGATGATCCATTAAATCTTTGGAATGCCTTTAAAGATTTTATGATGGAGGATTACATTCACCATTCCATGCCACCAATAATTGCTGAGCAGGCAGCTTTGCGTCAAATTGAATCTATAATTAATCAGAATGGTAAGACTTTAGCTGATGTTAATCTTCCTACTTTAGATGAGTTTTTAGATTATGTCCCACAAAATGAAGAGGAAGATGTTCAGGTTTTAATTGATGAAGCAAATAGGGTTAGACCATTGTTAAATGATAATCAGCGTCAAATTGCTGATGCTATCCTTTCTGCTCTTAGTGAGCAACCTAACAATGAAAACAAGCAGTCTAGATTGTTTTTTATCGATGGCCCTGCAGGTTGTGGTAAAACATTTACATACAATTATTTAATCGCTGAAACCAGCAGTAGACATATTATAACTGCAACAGCTGCATGGACAGGAATAGCTGCAACTCTTTTAAAAAAAGGATGTACACTTCATGGTTTGTTCAAACTTCCTGTGCCGATTTTGGAAAATAGCACATGCAATGTAACTCCAAATTCTATACACGGAAAATTCTTGAGGCAAGTTAGCCTTTATTTACTAGATGAGGCATCCATGATACCTAAACATGCTTTAAATGCCATTGATAAGTTACTTCAAGACGTTTGCAATAACAAGTTTCCTTTCGGTGGTAAAGTTATTCTTATGGGTGGGGATTTTAGGCAAATACTTCCGGTTGTAAAGAGAGGGCAACCAGCTGATATTGTTGAAGCCTGTATAAAATGTTCTCAACATTGGCAATATGTTCAGCGATTTTCATTAACAGAAAATATGAGGGTTCAGGCCGAAGAAGAGGAATTCTCTCAATAGCTTTTAAAACTTGGTAGTGGAACATTACCTTTAAAAGCAGATGGTTCCTTTCGCAGGTGCATTGAGATTCCTGAGCAATGCTTGCTTGGAGAAAATGAATCTTTAGTAGACAAGATTTTTGGAGTTGCAGAAGAAGATGATTATGCTAAACGTGCCATTTTGACACCCAATAATGTTGATTCTTTAGCAATAAATGAAGAAGTTTTGGACCGTTTACCAGGTGACGTTAAGGTTTATTTAAGTGCTGATACTATTGAAACAGATGATCTTAACGAAATCAATAATTTTCCTGTTGAGTTTTTAAACAGTCTTACTCCATTAGGAATGCCTGTTCATTGCCTAAAGCTAAAAATTGGTGCTGTTATAATGTTACTTCGAAATTTAGATCTAAAAGCTGGACTTTGCAATGGTACTTGATTGATAGTGCGTGCTCTACAAAATAATTACATTGATGGGCAAGTTCTAACAGGTGTTTCAGTTGGCAAGAGGGTATTTGTCCCTCGGGTTCAGTTAACACAATCTGATTCAAATTTACCTTTTACTCTTAAGCGTCGTCAATTTCCTGTAAGATTAGCATACTCAATGACCATAAATAAAAGTCAAGGTCAAACTTTTGACAAAGTTGGTATTTATCTCAAAAACCCTTGCTTTTCACATGGTCAACTCTATGTTGCATGTTCAAGAACAAGATCGTTTAATACCTTATTTTTTAAAATTGATGAGCATTCATTACAAGGTATGTCATTTAACAAATGCTACACAAACAATGTTGTATTTACCAATGTACTAAATCTATAAATAATTATTTTTTTACAATTAAACTCCTCATTTCTTATAAATATTTTAACTGTAATTTAAAGTATTTTTGTGTGTTGCTTGATGCAGTAATGTGTGATATTTATTATGTGTTTAAATATGTGTTAAGGTTATATTTTGTAAGTGTTTATGTGTAACTAATGTGTAAATGACTGTTATATGTGAAGTGTATTTTTTATGTTATCTGTTTATAGTTTGTGAGTTGTTATTATGTTGTTTTCATGGTTTCAAAGTGGTGTGACTTGGCTTTGTTTATGACAAGAGTGTTGTCCTTGCTAGCCAAGCGGTGTACTTTGAATAATGTGACTTGGCTTTGTTTATGGCAAGAGTGTTGTCCTTGCTAGCCAAGTGATGTACAGACATGAAACACATAATAAAATCTGTTTGTAATCACAAAATGTGTACTTATAAGTATGTTATATTTTGTAAGTATTTATGTGTAATTAATGTGTAAATGGCTGTTACATATGAAGTGTATTTTTTGTTATGTTATCTGTTTATAGTTTGTGAGTTGTTATTATGTTGTTTTCATGGTTTCAAAGTGGTGTGACTTGGCTTTGTTTATGGCAAGAGTGTTGTCCTTGCTAGCCAAGCGGTGTACTTTGAATAATGTGACTTGGCTTTGTTTATGGCAAGAGTGTTGTCCTTGCTAGCCAAGCGGCGTACTGACATGAAACACATAATAAAATCTGTTTTTAATCACAAAATGTGTACTTGCAAGTATGTTATGCTGTTAGTAAATAAAGTATTTACAATAAAGTCTGGATAACTCAATAAATCAACTTGAATAAATCAAACTAATTTTAAAATTCCAGTTGAGCGATTGTTTATGGATCATACTACCACTAACTGAAATATTTTCTAATAAGCTAATTGCTGGATCCTTTGGTGGTTTAAGTTATTGAGTCTTTACTGTAAGATTTTGTGCTATTTGTTATTGATGTTTGTGATGTTACTGTTGTGATGTTTTGTGTTGATAGACGACTTGGCTTACCTTCACGTCGGTGTCTATCGTTAAAAATGATTATAGGGTTGTTTCATACTGAAACTGACTATATATAATCATTCACTAAAAGCCAAGCATTCAATTTTTATATTAAACTGTAAGGGTTTATCTTTTTTTGATTATTTTTAGTGTGCTTTTTTTGAAAAGAGTTTATAATCGAAACTTGCAACAAAAAATCTTGAAACCTTTACACAAAACCTATTCACACAAAAAAAACAATCTCAAAGTAAGTTTCTTATTTGATATCGCCTTGGTCACACTTTTGAGTTTTTAAATAAAAGAGTACATTAATGTGTTATGTTTTCAATAATTTTGTTTTATTTTAGTTCGAATGCCTTCTCTTAATGTTGATCGTTTTTTAACATCCAAAGGGAAGTTTTGTTAATCTTTATACCATTTACTAAAAGATATATTATAGGGAAACAAATCAAATTGATTTTATAAAGTACTTCTGATACTTTTTATGTTATATATAATAGATATTGTAAAATTTAAAAAAAAAAAATTATTTTTTTAATTTTATCTCAAGAAAAATGTTTTTTGTTTCTCACACAAATTTGTAAATTTTTTCTCTTTGGAATTATAGTATTTGATGGATACATTGCTCATTTTGCTTTTTTTATATATATCTCCGTTATATATGAATGGAAACCGTTAATACTTTTATTACCATGGTAATTACAGATCTAGATAGTTCCATTCCCATTAAGTATTTTACAAATTTTCGGTACAAATAATAGCTATAGTAGTTTAATAATTTGCTAATTTATAAACATTTAGAAAAATTTGTTGCGAGTTTATTGTAGAAAATTTGCTTTTCAAACAAATAGAGCTAATTTTTGACATAATTAGGATTCGTCACCTGATTCTTTGTCAAATACTTCTCCTTTTTAAATAGGAAAGGTTAAATTTTATAAAAAAGTTTGCCAAAACACTGGGAGAAATGTCACGTAATTGGTAACTATGTTAAATACACTTTTGTTAGGTCCACGTAAAATAACCTTTACTTGACTTATTACATTGATTGATTGCTTTTATTGTACCTTTTGTTTTTTAATATAGCTACAAATGTGCTTTCCAGTTTAATCAGTTAATGTAATAAGTCAAGTATTAGTGAGTAAAATAAATAAGTTGTTGTGCTCACTTGTACTTAATTTATTACATTATTTGCTTTTATTGTTTTTTTACAGTAGATTTTTTGTAAGTATTACCTTGGTACATAGTTGTATTTATATATAATTTTTTTTTCAGGCTCGAAGTCATGGGAAGAATTCAGAAAGTATCGCTCCCAGCATCCAGGCCCTCTATCTATGAGGGCCTTCCATCGCTGGTGTTTGTATGGGGAAGACCATCCCTCCTTTAGATGGAGGGATGGCACCCCATACAACACGGGGAATAGAGCGGATGCTGGGAGGAGAAGACAACGTGGCGCAAAAGTTGTCAATAATTTTTTTACATATTAAAATGTAAAGAAATTGACAACTTTTGAGCCACTTCATTTTTTTTTTTTGTAATATATTTTTGTAAATTTATTTTTGTGTTGTTTTTTATTTTTCCCATGAATGTTAAATGTTATCAAAGTAAATCATTTAAATAAAGACACCTTTATCAACAATGCTCATTAACTAGAAATAAAAGTCACGGTCATACATTTGATAAAGTTAATGTTAATCTCAAAGGGATTTGGTTTTCACACAATCAAATTCTATCTAGCACCTTCCAGAACTAAGAATATAAGTGTGTGGTGTCAGTAGTTTAAAATATGTATAACAAACTCAGAATAACTCAATAACCCTCAACAAAACTATGAACTAATTTTTAAATTCAAGTTGAGCTTTTTTATTTATTAATACCTCCCCTCCCAATAAATCTAATTTTCCTTAAAAAACTAATTTTTTTTGTCCTTTGGAGGTGGTTCTGCTATTTAATTAATTGTTGTGATGTTTTATGCAAATAGATTTAGCTCACATTCATGTTGGTCTGTCAGGGTTATGTAAAAATAAAAAAGTAAGTTTCTTATTCGCATTTTTGAGTTTTCAAAAGTATTGATTGCATGACATGTTAATTTATAATTAATGTGTATGATTATAATTATGCGTTTAAATAACTTTGTTCCATTTTTAGTTCCTTTTCTTATAGCTGACTTGATTATGGTATACCTAAAGCTTAATATTTATGAAACAATGATTCAATTTAAATTGTATTATAAGTAGCTCTGTTGAATAAATTTTTTTTTTGTAATTTGTACTAAAGGTTATATTTTTATTTTATATCAAGAAAAATATGTTTTTAAGTAAATATCTATATTTTTTTATTTTGGGATTTATTGGTTTAAATGGATATAAAAATCATTTTTGCTTTGTCTTTCATATTTCCTTTTATTATATATGAATAGGAACCATTTATGCTTTAATCACCATTAGCACTCGAAGTTTCCATTTGCATTAAGTATCGATTTTTGGCACACACAACAGGTTTAATAACTTAGGCAGTAAAAACAGCTCGAATGATTTGTTAAGAGTCTTTAAAGAAACGCTTTTACGAAAAGCATTATATAGATAAAGCTAACTTATTTAAAATAATAAGTCTTTAACCCGTTTTTCTATATCCAAATGACTATAAATGTCTAAGTGTTGCGCGTCTACCAATTAGCCCATAAACGTATTTTCTATTTAAATTTAAGATTATTTATGACGCATAAGAAGTGTAATTAAAAATTCAAAACCAAGTTTGCAACAACTGAGTTTAAATAAAATCTAATTAGATGTGTAAATGTTATGAACGTTAACTAAGGCGTACTTTAACGGCGTCACGTGTTGAATGTTTTAGCATTTTTTTAAGTTCGTAGTCTTTTTTACGTTTTTTCTTATTAAAATTTTTATAATCGGCATAATATTAAAATCGTTTGAAGTTTTTAAAAGAACATTTTAACAGAAATGTTTTTGTCATATCAAAAAGTAAGTATAGTTTTTTATATGTACATTTTTAAACGGTTTTAAAAAAATATTGAGGTAAGGAATAAGTATAGAAAAGGTCGGTGTAGAATAGATTTACTAAGACCCTTAGTTTACGTCCGGATAGCTATAGATAAGTATAAAAATGGTCGGTTCGGTAAAGACCCGTATTTTACGGGTCACCCCAGCTAGTATTATATTATTTATTATGACGCATGTCATTAAACAAATATTACAAAAATAAGGTTGTGTTTTTGAGGTTACTAATTTATATATTTTTCTTAATTTATATATTTATTTATATTTGTGTGTCATTATTATGTGTTTATATGTGTTAAGGTTATGGGTTTATATTTTGTAAGTAAGTTTATATTTTAATGTCAGGTCAGGTTATCCTGCTACTGGTAACATTTAACCCAGTACAATCTGCTTCATGTCCTGCTGCCTTGTAGGATACGCCTTTTTAGGCAAAGGCTAGGAAATGCTAACTCCGACATAAAACACCGCCTGCCTTGGGGCTCTTGCTTAAGTAAAGGCTAGAGATGGTGTCTCGATAAAAATACTCATCTTGGGCAGACATTAAATGCATCCAACTGCTTGTAGAATGCCTCCTAGGCAAAGACTTAAGGGGTAAACAGATTTAATCTGTTGACCAGCCTCGCACCCCTCGTTCATTTATTAGGCTAGCGTAGATGTATTTTTAATACATTGTTTCCAGTTTAGGATGTTGATTGCTGGATCTTCTTGACTCGATGCATGAGTTTTGCTTGTGTTTTTGTTTTTATGACTAGGCAACTTATTATATTATCTCCTAATAAGGGTACAGCTCTAAAACTCAGTTTTATGGTTCTGAGGCCGGCTGGTTTCAGTCAGTCAGGTTTCTCGAACTCTGTGGTAGCTCTCAGAGAGGCTGATTCCATCAACAGCTGAAAAATATCGTATTAATAGTGCTATGTTGCGCATGGATGGTGTCTCTGTTTGTACTTTTGGTGTTCACTGCCAAGGCTACATTGGAGCCCTTTACGGCTTAGGGTTTATTAATAGTAATGAGGCAATTGCTTGAGCTACTAAACAGTGTACTGAGTACTATCTATGTTTTGAGTCAAATTCTTTAACAAATTTAAAAAATGAATAAAGTAACAAAAACTATTAAACACAAAAACCACTGTCATCACCAAGTTTTTTTTTTTTTTTTTTTTTTTTTAATGTTTTTATATAAAATCACTCAGTTAAAAAGATTATATCAAATTATTTATAATTATTTATAATTTATTTATAAGTTTAAGTTCTTGATAGAAATATATTGTCTTTACACATTGCTATATCATTTTAAAACATCTAATTTAAGTTACTAATAGTAGAGGAAGAATATAATTAGATTATTATATTATGCTCTGTTTTATTTTTAGACTTTATTTTAGATAAGTTTAATGAAGAAAACTAAAAGTTTAACTTTTATTATTTTATGCATCATTTTTGCACATCACTTCTGTGATGCTTGATTATGTATGATAATTAAAGAAATGAAATTATTGGACTTCGTCAAAATGAAAGAAACCAAGCTAGGCGAGATGAATTAAACCATCGTCATAATGAAAGAGATCAGCACAGGCAAGCTGAAATATATTGTAATCAAAATGAAAGAAATCAGGATAGGCGAGAACTCAATAGCTATATAATGCATCACATAGCAAGAAATAATATTGCTAAAGAGAGTAACTACCTTGGAGAAATAAACCATATTTGTCACAATTGTAGTGTGAAGAAGTTTTTAAATAAAACTCATTTTTTATGCTGTCATTCAGGAAAAGTTGTATTAGCTCCTCTTTCTCCATATCCACCATTGTTGACTGATTTAATGACAGGAAGCCATTTTTTTAAACACATAAGGAGTTATCTTTATCTTTTGCTTCCTTCACTGCTGAAATAGCTCCTCCCTTAAATAATGGCCCTTTCTGTTTTAGGGTCTGTAGGCAAATTTTGCATCGTGTTGGAAATTTAAGGCCTGCAGAAGGCAGTCTGCCCAAATACTTTCAATTATATATCTATGATTCTAATGCAGCAGTGTCATTCAGAATGGAGCAACCTGGTATTTATGGTTGTATACATGAGTTAATGCAACTTTTGCAAACATTAATTAAGAAAACCCATTTGCTCTTGCATTTATAAACATGGTAGAAGTGGAGGATGAAGAAATCTGCTGAGCAGCTTTAGAAAAGTAGACCAACTTCTGTTGTTAGAATGTCTTTACTTGAAGGTCATGATAGACATCGATACAATCTTTCTTCCCTTGAGGAAGAAAGATTGTATCGATGGGATAAAGTTGCTGTTGTGTTTGTGGGAGATGATGGTGCTCCACCTGCATCCATAGACATTGTTATATACCCTCAAAGTCAGCCTTTAAGAACAATTTTGTCTATATCTGCTAATTTAGATCCTATGGTATATCCATTATTTTTCCCGAGAGGTGATGCTAGATGCTGGATGGCACAACCAACTGGAGCACAACCCTGACCATGCAACTGATTTTAAAACCATGTTACATTTTCTCAGTATTATAATTATAGGCTTGCTGTTAGACAAACTTTTAGTCCTATATTCTATGGTAAGAAACCTTTTCAGCAATATGTTGTGGATGCATAT